TTCTCCTACGCCGACTGGGAAGGTTCCCAAGCACCCTCGCACGACGCTGTCCAAGCCGCCCAAGGCTCTGCCCAAGATGAAGATAGCTGTCCCTACCATTTCCGGGTAATAATAAAACTTGTTTTCCTTTGTCGACCGTGGACGGATCCTTGGTCGATTCATTGAGCCATCCGACTGACTTTCGAGGCTTGCAGTGCTGCTACTTCTGAGGTCTCCGCCAAGGACGACGACCAAGAGATGGAGGATGCTGTTACCTCCAACCCTGGTACGATTACTGACGTTCTGTATTGAGTCGACTGATCATTTATTGCAACTCTGGTCGATTGAACTTTTCCTTTGTAGCCCCTACTCATGTTATCGACCTCCCGGATGACGACGACAACGGTCCGTTGAGAGTGAGGAGGCACAAGAGGGCGTCGGCTGACAAGACCCCCCAATCCGCTCCGGCGTCCGAGGCCGTGGCTCGGGATGGTGGTGACACCACTCGGGCTTCTGTGACCTTCGCCGTTCCTCTGGCGAGTGCGCGGCCCTCGTCGTCGACTGCGGATCCGTCTTCACTTTTTGTCGCATACCCCGTCCCTGAGGACCAAGCGGCTGCTGCAAAAGAGGCTATACGCCAGGGGGGATCATGATGGAGCAAGTGAAGATGGCTCGGGAGGCCAGCCAAGCAGCCTATGACGCGAGTTCGGCTCTCCAGAGCAACGTCCAGGTCAGTCGACTCAACACTTGGTCTGTTATGATATGCTGTTTTAAGAGTCTCTTTTCCGAAGATCTTTTGCATCTGCATCTGTACACCCACTGGGTGTGTCTTCCAATTCTCAGACGAGTGGGGGCACGCTAAGTGCACCCACTGGGTGTAGTCCCCGAGACTACGGTGAACTGTTGGCAGTCGACTGTAGTCTTTACATTGTGTTGCTGTAGCTGCATTTCTTCACTCGGTTTGGTCGGGCCAGGTCGAGTGGAACTGTATCCGGTCGACTGCGGGCAGTCGACTTTTTTTTGGGTCGAACCAGTGGGGGCACGCTGAGTGCACCCACTGGGTGTAGTCCCCGAGACTACTGTCGAATGTTTTTGATTCGGCTGTGGTCTTAGAAACGTCGTCATTGTCTCTTAGTTACTCGGAAGCAACTTATCTTGGACGTCTGTCAACTGATTTTTCTTTTTACAGAAATCTTGCGAACTTGTAGCTCGCTATACTGAGTTGAAGAATCAGCAGGTCCAGCTCAACCTTAACTTGAAGCTTGCTCAGGAGAATTTGAAAAAGGCGCAAGAAGAAGCAAAAGGTATGGCTGGTGAGGTTCTCCATTCTTAACGGGTGGCTTTTCTTTCTTGTCCATTCTTGATGTTGGTTCCACTCGACGCGCCGCAGAGAAACTGGAGGAAGCTCTGAAGAAGAAGGACCAAGACCTTGCAGAGGCACAGAAGGAGGCCTCGAGCAAAACGAAGCTCGCAGAAGAGAAACTGGCTTCGGTCGGAACTCTTGAACAAGAGAACTCCAGACTGAAAACTGCTCTCGAGACAGCTAATCGAGACGCCAGTCGACTGAAGAAGGAGAAGATGGCTCTGCACGACAAGGCGGGTGAGCTGGCGGGGAAGGTAAAAGATCTGGAGGCTTATCTCGGTGGACTTGCCAAGAAGCTGTTCGTCACGCTCGAAGGTAATTACTCTGCCCTGACTGTCTTGCAGTTTACCAAGCCTGTGTAGGGCCACTGTCTTACTCTT